AACAGGAAGCTGGTGTAAACAGGAAGCAGGTGTAAACAGGAAGGTGTAAACAGGAAGCAGGTGTAACAGGAAGCAGGTGTAAACAGGAAACAGGTGTAAACAGGAAGCAGGTGTAAACAGTAAACACGTGTCAACAGGAAGCAGGTGTAAACAAAACAGGTGTAACAAGAAGCAGGTGTAAACAGGAAGCAGGTGTAACAAGAAGCAGGTGTAACAGGAAGCAGGTGTAAACAGGAAGCAGGTGTAACAAGAAGCAGGTGTAAACAGGAAACAGGTGTAAACAGGAAGCAGGTGTAACAGGAATCTGGTGTAAACAGGAAGCTGGTGTAAACAGGAAGCAGGTGTAAACAGGAAGGTGTAAACAGGAAGCAGGTGTAACAGGAAGCAGGTGTAAACAGGAAACAGGTGTAAACAGGAATCTGGTCTAAACAGGAAGCTGGTGTAAACAGGAAGCAGGTGTAAACAGGAAGGTGTAAACAGGAAGCAGGTGTAAACAGGAAGCAGGTGTAACAAGAAGCAGGTGTAACAGGAAGCAGGTGTAAACAGGAAGCAGGTGTAAACAGGAAGCAGGTGTAAACAGGAAGGTGTAAACAGGAAGCAGGTGTAACAGGAAGCAGGTGTAAACAGGAAGCAGGTGTAACAGGAAGCTGGTGTAAACGTGAAGCAGGTGTAAACAGGAAGCTGGTGTAAAATGGAAGCAGGTGTAACAGGAAGCTGGTGTAAAATGGAAGCAGGTGTAAACAGGAAGCAGGTGTAAACAGGAAGTTGTAAACAGGAAGCACGTGTAAACAGGAAGCAGGTGTAAACAGTAAGCACGTGTAAACAGGAAGCAGGTGTAACAGAAAGCAGGTGTAAACAGGAAGCAGGTGTAACAGGAAGCAGGTGTAAACAAGAAGCAGGTGTAACAGGAAGTTGTGTAAACAGGAAGCAGGTGTAACAAGAAGCAGGTGTAAACAGGAAGCAGGTGTAACAGGAAGCAGGTGTAACAGGAAGCAGTTATAAACAGGAAGCTGGTGTAAACAGGAAGCAGGTGTAACAATAAGCAGGTGTAACACGAAGCAGGTGTAAACAGGAAGCAGGTGTAACAGGAAGCAGGTGTAACAGGAAGCAGTTATAAACAGGAAGTTGGTGTAAACAGGAAGCAGGTGTAACAGGAAGCAGGTGTAACAGGAAGCTGGTGTAAACAGGAAGCAGTTGTCTCACTCAGTCAGTCTGGACTGGATCAGGTGGTCCGTTCTGATGAAACTCATCAGGTCCAGGATGGGATGAAGCATGTCCACAGTCCAATCAGATCCTGACAGCTGTTCTGAGGACCASGAACAGAAACCTCTGGTTATTCTTCTGTCATGTTTTGAACATTTGGCYTGTTTTCAGTGTAAAATCTGAACGGTTCTGATCCAAACATGAAGCGTTCAGAACCTTTGATGTGTCTGATGCCGAGCTGCAGGGCGTTTTCAGGCTCGGAGCTCAGCAGGTGGAACTTCACAGCAGAGAACAGATCACCTTGGCTCACAGCTTCTTCTGCTAAYGTCCTGCACTCCTCTGTGGACGGCAGGCCGCACTGCCAACACAGAACATCCTTTAGTGTCGGACCAWCTTGACCAGAACCTGAGCTCTAACTCACCCTGTGGTGGAACCGGTCCAGTTCTGCAGAACTTCCTGGGTAAAACGCACAAAGCTGAACCAATAAGATGTGGTTGTCTGGAACCATCTGCAGCAGGTCTGCTGAGAGCTCCCTGAAGAAACAAACAATCAGATCTGACTGGGTCCACTGGTTCTGATCTACCAGAACCATCACAGCTCCTGGGTCCACTGGTTCTGATCTACCAGAACCATCATTGCTCCTGGGTCCACTGGTTCTGATTTACCAGAACCATCACTGCTCCTGGGTCCACTGGTTCTGATCTACCAGAACCATCACTACTCCTGGGTCCACTGGTTCTGATCTACCAGAACCATCATTGCTCCTGGGTCCACTGGATCTGATCTACCAGAACATCACAGCTCCAGAGTCCACTGGTTCTGATCTACAAGAACCATCACAGCTCCAGGGTCTAATGGTTCTGATCTACCAGAACCATCACTGCTCCTGGGTCCACTGGTTCTGATCTACCAGAACCATCACAGCTCCTGGGTCCACTGGTTCTGATCTACCAGAACCATCACAGCTGCAGGGTCTAATGGTTCTGATCTACCAGAACCATCATTGCTCCTGGGTCCACTGGTTCTGATCTACCAGAACCATCACAGCTCCAGTGTCCACTGGTTCTGATCTACCCGAACCATCATTGCTCCTGGAACCACTGGTTCTGATCTACCAGAACCATCACAGCTGCAGGGTCTAATGGTTCTGATCTACCAGAACCATCATTGCTC